CAGGATTTCCAACCTCCCATCAAGTCAATTACCACATATGAAGCAGAATTTGCCATTTACTAGGGAGGAATTAAAAGGGAAATGCATTAATGCTTAATCAGTATTTATGTTTTCATTTTGGATCTTGTTACAGCTGCCACTACAGACAGACCATGTGGAAGAGCTCCAGGCAATTCCCACACCACTTCTGGACAATCTTGCCAAAATCATGGATACAGCCCTCAGCTGCAAGAGAAAGGGCACAAATGAGCATCTCCTCCAACTGGCTATCCAAGGCTGGCAGGCTATTTTCCAGGTAAAGACATTGTGTGAGAAGCATTGAGTTCCCCTGGGCATGCATGGCCTTATCTTTTGGCTCCTCCGGCCACCCCCACCAGCTGTGGCAGAGCAGGCAGCTTGTTGCTTACTCAGCAGAAAACACAGTGAGACTTAAGGCTGAGCAGCCTTAAATCTCCCGTGGCTGCAGGACCAGTTTTTCTTTTGTGCACAACTGCTGTGCCCAAACATTACCACAGCAATGGCTGTTTGCTACCCAAGGGAAAGCGAGCTGGGAGCTAAGGTGGATCCCAGCACAGGCAGTGCCCTCATCAGTGGGGCAGAGCTGGGTGCTGGTAGCAGGGTCCACCACCAGTTGTAGAGAAGGCAAGTGAAGAGCCAGGTATAGAATCTATCTAGGGGGTGCCAGAGCTGGGACTGGAGACAAGCTACAAAATGCGAATAAGGGGTCCATCCGGGAAACAAGGTGCCTACAGCAGAGGTCCAAGCTGCCTCCAGGAGATAGGGCTAGGGACTGAAGGCCTGCACCTCAGCTGAAATAGGGTTCACGCAAGTGGGGTGAGGAATCGGGGAAGGGGCAGAGAGGTAGGGCTGCTCAGGTCCCTGAGTCCCTTTTTGTGCAGCTTCCCTTCCCAGCAAGGGGTGTCATCACACCTTCAAGGTGACTTGCTGGAAATTTTATGGACAGACCCTCTAGTCAGGCAAAGCGTATAGCTGTGTGCTCCATCTTGCTTTATTTAAAAAAAAAAAAAAAGAAAGAAAAAAAAAATCGATCCCCAAAATTGAGTAATCCAGTCTCCCATTCACCACAGTGAAACTAACATGCTCATTTAGACTAGAGCCAACTGGTTGCTGAGCATTTTATTCCATTACGACATTACAACACTGCCACCTGTTGTTAGTCTGCAGATTTTACTTTGCCCAGCCACACCCTGTGGTAGACCCAGCACCAGCACAGAGGCATAAATCCCCCACTACTTCTGTTAAACTGAAACCTTGCAACGAATATGAACTGAGTGGATGTAACATCATGTCTTTCCATACAAGTTTCAAACAGGTAGAAAACCTGGAAACATCCACAGACACATTGTATTGGTGTTGACTGGTACATCACTGTTTTCTCTGCTAACTCAAAGAATGAGGTTTTGAAAGACGGGGGAGAGGAGAAGGATGGAGAGGGAAGGGGGAGAGAAAGGCTGGGACAGACACCAACAAAACAACCCAGAAACGAAGCGGCAGCAAAACTCATCCCAGCAGAAAACGTCAAGGATTGTGAAATGTACTGTGTCTGTGCAACATTATCTCCAAACTCTGTGACTTCTCCTGATGTGACTATCTATTTTCCCTCAGTATTTGCCCCATCTTCTACCCCAGAGGCTGCCACCCAAAGGCGTACATTTTCCTGGTGCTGGTCAGTGAAGTTCAGTGTCTGTTTTGCAGAATTGTATGAACACCTAGAGAAGATTTGTCTGCAAATGAGCAGTGTAAGTTGATCATATTTGTCTTTGAGTTTCTGACTAGGTGGTTTCTGGGAAGAGTTTCAGCATGCCCTGAAAGAAGGTGGATCAGAAAGAGGTGGATCACACTTTTTGCTAGCAGGTACAACATGGGGAGATCCCACAGAAAGCAAGGAAAGAAGACAAACAGCACAATCCAGCTGGGCCCCTTTGTCCCACTGCCTGCCATTCAACTGGGTCATTTGGTTGGGGTCAGAGGAGTGACAGAGGTGGTTTTTCTGCATGGGTTCCTTGCACTATATTTTTTTTTTTTTTTTCAGGTGGATTTAGAGATCAGTTATAAATAACACCACCTTGAATTAACACTTTTTTCACTATACTTTTTCATGATGTCTCTTTGTGTTTCAATCTTGATGTGTACCATAGTTGAGAAGGGGTGTAATGTGCTTAGCTAGACCCAGGTACCTGGTAACTGCCAGAAGCCTCAGAAGCTGATGAAGAACCCAGGCCCATAGCAGTGATCCCCGGGGCAGTGGGGCCAGCAGAAGCTGCTGGTCAACCCACCACACAGAAAGAAGGAACCTGCCAGCCAGTCAGCCAGGAGTAGTTTTCTCTTCACATTTCTTTCCAGATGGAAGATCCAATCAAAAAGGAAATAATGATCTTGAAGTGGAGTTGCCAGCAGGCAAGCAGATTTACCATGGTTGAGTCCTAATGGGCTGACACTTGAGGCAGCTGGGCCAAGAGAACCTGTCCTGGTCCATGGAGCTCTTCGTCCCAGGGGCATTTCCCTGACTTGAGCCACATGGTTCACTTTGGACCATCATCCAGGTAATTAATGAAGATGTTAAACAGTATTGGCACCCATGTTGTTGCTGGGGTACACCACTGACAACCAGCCTCCAGCTGTCCCTCCCACAGCACCTGTGGGTGCATCCTGTCAGGTGCTGGGGTACATTCTGCAGGGGCTGCTGGGGGCTGGGACCATTAGGGGCTGTCCCCAGGGTGTCAGGACAGAGCCACACAGCCAGACTCATCCCACCCCCCAGAGAGGGAGCAGGCGGGCCAGGGGGCATCAGGGACCTCCCCAAGGACGGGGATGGGCCAAGGCCAGGCTGGCACATCAGTCCATGGGGTCCACGGCTAAGCAGGACAGTGCTGTGGGGACCTGGAGACCAGCACCCTATGGCATCTGCGGGGCATGGGCTGAGGCCCCAGACAGGGCTAAAATGGGGTCCTGGGTGAGGGGCATGGTGTGGAGAAGACCTGGAAGAGAAGGAATGGCCCTTGAGGCCCATCGTTGCCCTTGGGGATATTATAAGCTCCTGTTTGAAGAATACTGGAGAACCCCGGAGACATAGGCACTCCCCCACTTCTAAAGTACCATGACAGCGTGCCCCAACCCCTCAAAAGGAAAGGTGAAATCACGAGATCTTTTAAATGAAAAACAGCATCATCTTGTGGCACTGATTTTAGGAGTGAAAAATATGCAAATGCCAACTCTGTCCTGACTGTTACAGCACAGGTTTCTCACCTCACTTGCTTTTTTTCAATCTCTACAGTAGAAATGTAATGTAGTGTAAGTGGTAAGAGCGTAATCAACGTGATGAGAGCCCTCAGGCTGGTGCACACAATATTGCAGAGAGTATTCTCATTGTGACAGCATCATGCAAGTGAACCATAAATCCCAGTTTCCTTAAATCAGGCTTTAGAGTTATAATTCTGATCTTTATTTGAACTGTGTTTTTACTTTTGATCACTATGATCAGACAAAACAAGAACTATAAATCTAACATGCAAGTTGAATAACTCTTGATATATTTTAGTTCAGTATTTCACGTTTCAATCCAATTTTGTGTAAATAAACCTTCAGTAAAACTGTCACATGCTGAGACAATCTACACGGGACTCGGTTCACTGAGATGTTTGTGGTACCTGGGGCTGGACTCGGTGCTGAGGGGACCACCTAACAGCCAGCCTACACGCTCCATGCCTGAAGGCATGCAGCACCTAAGTCCTTTGTATTGTGTGTGTATGGGAACCAAACCCAGATGTTACAAAAATTATTATTCCACAAGAAATCAAGGGTAAATGCTTCTACAGTGCCCCTGGGAAATACCATAAGGACATCCACAGGCACAGTTACCAATTTACAAAACCTAACACAATACTCCAGCCCTGCAAATGCACTGTCACACCTCTCCCTCGCAGGCCAGCACCGACCCACAGGCACAAAAATTGCAGTCACAGCTGGTTGTCACCTCTGCCTGGAAAATCCTGCTGTTCCATCCATGCTCACTTCATGCCGCTTTCTCTTTGTAAAGTCCCTCCTGAGCAGTGTTCCCAGCATCTGCACAATGGCTCCTTTAACACTCCCCTCCTGCCCCTCCCAGTGGTACTACCTTGCCCATGCACAGCATCCCCCAGCCCTGTGGCCCCATCTGCTTCACCAGGCTCCACACTTTCCCTGGCTGTTTCCAGCTGCCATTTATTATCTCTTTTTCTGGGATAAGAAGGGCTCACCCCTGTCTTGGATAATAATAACATTAACAACAACAACAGTAATAATAATTATAATAAAACAAACAGTGGCATGTCTCTTCTTGCAGTTTTCCTGTACCTGTTTCAGCCAGCCTTGCTCATGTGCTCTTACTCTTCAGGAGTAAAGCAAGTGCCTTACAGAAATCTCTTTTTTCCTCACAAGTCTCTGGGTTTCTCACCTACATTTGTGCTCTCTTCAGCACCAAATATGAAATGTGTTTGGAAGAGGGCTTTTCCCCTGTCTGCCTTGGCCCATGCAGCCCCTATCTCCCTGCTGGCAGAAACAGGAGGGTAGAAATAAGATTCTGCCACAGACACCCAGAGATTCATTGTGACCCAGGAAGAGACAGGAAGTTCCTTCAGTGGTCCCTCTTTTATGGGAATAAAATGCAAAGCAGCAAAGACGACCCAGCCCGCAGTGGTTGCCCTGCATTGCCTCCCCAGCTGGTAGCTGGGGTGAACCCTGCCCTCTCCCAAGGGAAACCTGGGGTCCGAAGTGTCTGTGCTCGTCACAGTCTCTCTGGACCCCCGTGGGGCGGGGAGCAGCCATCAGCCGAGCCAGCACCAGAAGACATGAGCCTCACTTTCTAGCCCTCTCCTGACCTGACTGACAGCCTGGCAAAACCACTCGGTAATGTGGCTGTTTGCAGCAGTTTGGGGGTAACCCTCAGCCTCTGTGTGCCAGGGATTCCTGTGCATGAAATTAAAACTTGTTGCAAAACGCCGTCATCAGAACAGTGACTTTATTAACAGAGACAAACAAAGGATTAAAACACGTTACGGGTTTGCTGAAACACACAGTGTGCCTGTGGAGGACAGACATATTTATATACATCAGTTCATTGTAGAAACGTGAAACAATTTGGTCTAGATGACTAGCATATCCCCTGGTAGTTTGCAATGGATCCGGAGAGATTTCTCTCCGTGGTGACTCCGGTAAAGCAACAGATTTCCCCCCAGCCCCACCCCAGCCAGGCTAGTGCCGGACCCCTGAACGCCACTGGTATCTCATGCGGGACTTTCTCCAGCCCAGGGCAAGCGTGGCTGGACTCGGCCTGAAACTGGTGGTTCGGGTGAAGCCCCGCCGCGGGCTGTGCGCCGCTCCCCCCGCGGTGCGCCGAGTTGGGCCCTCTCAGCTGGGGGGGGGGCAAGAAAAAGGGGTTCACGGTGCTTTGAACACATCCGCGTGTCCGTCGTCTGTCCCCCCACCACCACCACCACCCAGGGGATCCCCTGACCACGGCCCCTCCGACCGGCAGCGGGTGGATGTTCCCCGCCTCGGGAAGGAGCCGGGGGGCGCAGGGAGGGGAAGGGGCCGGAGGAAGGAGGAAAAGAAAACAACTCCACGGGTGTCGGGTGTCACGGACGGCGTTACATGGACGACGTGGGGGCTTCTCGCTGCGTTTCTGGGGCGGGCGAGCCGCGGGAAGTCGCCGGCGCCGCTCCGGGCTGGCACGTCGGGGCGGGGGGGGGGGCGTCGGTGCCTGCGTTCCCGGCGGCTTGTCCCGGGGCGGCCGCGCTCACAGGCACTTGAGGAGGAAGGAATTGCACGAAGTCCCCCGGGGGCAGTCGCAGAGCTTCCCGATGCGGGCCCCCTTCCTCACGGCGCACTGCTCCCCGGCGTCACACTGCGGGCGGTGAGGGGGGCACGGCCGGGCGGTGAGGGGTGGGGTGGGGTGGGGGAGCACCGCCGCCGGCCGCCCCGTCCCGTCGCGCCCCGCCGCGGCACTCACCATGGGCACCTGCCCGAACTTCTTCTCGTAGTGCGGGACCCGCTTGCTCTTCAGCTTCTCCAGCACCTCCTGCAGCGCCTCGATCTGCCGAGAGACAGCCCCCCCCCCCCCCCCCCCGGCCCGTCAGGATGCGCCCGGCCGCCCGGCGCCCCCCGCCCCGGCCCCGGCCCCCCGCCCCACCAGCTCCTTCTCTCGGGAGGCGCCGCCGCCGCCTCCGGGGGGCCCCAGGTCGCGGGCGCGGCGCGGCGGGGCCGGTCCCTGCCCCGGTCCCTGTCCCTGCCCCGGTCCCGGTCCCGTTCCCGGCCCCGGCCGCTGCCCGCGGGCGCCCAGCAGCAGCGCGGCCGCCAGGGCGCAGAGCGCCAGCGCGCGGCCGCTCTCCATGGTGCTGCCGCCCCGCCGCGACGCCGCCGCCGCCGCCGCCTTTATAGCGCCGCGCCCGCCCCGCCGTGCGTCAGCGCCCCCCGCCGCCGCGCCCCGGCGCGCTCGGCTCGGCTCGGCTCGGCCCGGCTCGGCCCGGCTCGGCTCGGCCCGGCTCGGCTCGGCTCGGCCCGGCTCGGCTCGGCCCGGCTCGGCTCGGCTCGGCCCGGCTCGGCTCGGCCCGGCTCGGCTCGGCTCGGCTCGGTTCAGCCCGGCTCGGCCCGGCTCGGCTCGGCCCGGCTCGGCCCGGCTCGGCTCGGCCCGGCTCGGCCCGGCTCGGCTCGGCCCGGCTCGGCTCGGCTCGGCTCGGCTCGGCTCGGCTCGGCCCGGCTCGGCTCGGCTCGGCTCGGCTCGGCTCGGCTCGGCTCGGCTCGGTTCAGCCCGGCTCGGTTCAGCCCGGCTCGGCCCGGCTCGGCTCGGCCCGGCTCGGCCCGGCTCGGCTCGGCCCGGCTCGGCCCGGCTCGGCTCGGCTCGGCTCGGCTCGGCTCGGTTCAGCCCGGCTCGGTTCAGCCCGGCTCGGTTCAGCCCGGCTCGGTCCGGCTAGGCTCGGCTCGGCTCGGCCCGGCTCGGCTCGGCTCGGTTCAGCCCGGCTCGGTTCAGCCCGGCTCGGTTCAGCCCGGCTCGGTCCGGCTAGGCTCGGCTCGGCTCGGTCCGGCTCGGTTCAGCCCGGCTCGGCGCACACACCTGCCCCCACACCCGAGCGTCTTGGCAGCGGAGGGCCGGGTCGCCCCCCCCCCCCCCCCCCCCCCCCCCCCCCGTGTCGTGCGGGAGCAGTGGCGGGCTCGCCCCTCGGCCCGTGGCGGGGAGGGGGGAGGACGGGGGGCGAGGCCGGTGGACACCCGGAGAGCTTGGGAACCAACGCAGGGATCTGAGAAGAGGGAGCGCTAGTAGCCTGTGGGCTAAAGCAAAGCACGGTGTGAGGGGCGGAAGAGCCGGGGTAGGAGGATTAACCAGAAGGAGTTGGGGAGCGGGGGGGAAGATGAAGACGGTGAGCAACCACCTGATGAGGATGGGATGCTTGAGTGAGGGCAGGTGGGACTGCCAACAGGGTGGTAAGGCTCAGGGCCACAGAGAGCAAGGTAAGAAACAGCATCGGATGGCCCAGGATAAAAATAATTGATGGTACTTGGAGCAGAACTGTGCGATGGTGCTTGAGGCCAAATATCGTATTACAGAGCAGGTGCTCAGTGAGCGTCATCCATCCTGAGTGCGAAATGAGGCCACCTCCCTTTGGAGCGAGAAGAAGCACAGCTGCCAAAAGAAGACCTAGCATCATTGCACTTCTGCCATCTCCCTTCAGACCTTCCTACTGACACTCAGCTCTGCAAGCTCGGTGGCCTAATGTTCATCAACACCATGGCCCGGCTGGCCTGGGTCTCCCTAGGTGGAGAATCATCTGGAGAAGGAGGAATTTGGAAAATTTTATTAACAAAACTCTCCTAGCTGGGCATTTGGAGGGGAGATAGAAACAGCCTGAAAAGGCAAAGCAGTGTGAGAAGGAAAAAAAAAAAAAAAAAAAAAAAAGTTGTTTAATGAAAATTAAACAGGCCCAGGGACATATTTTTCCAAATATGAAGGCAGTGTTTAAAGGGACCGAGAGGAGTGTGGCTTAACAAGTAATTTTCAACAGCACCATTTTGTTTGAGGCAATGAAAAGACTCTGATCTCTCTGACTATGATGTTTCTTGCCTTCAGAGCTGCGTGTTCACCTCTTGCTGCTACCTCCTCCCACACGCTGCTGTTGATCATCACATCCAGTCTCATTTGTAATTGCTCTTCAGAGTAGAGATCCTCTTTGTGTTTGCACGAATCCTCTAGTCCCATTTTGCCACAGGGAAGGCTAGGATGTCAGACATCAGGCTGGTGGTGAACCACTCATAGCTAATCCCATGTCCCAGGCTGGAGCAAAAATGCAGCTAAGTGAAGTACTGGAAACGATGGGTTTGCCAAAGCAAAGTCTCTCAGAGCAGAGAAATAGCACAGGCTAAGAAAAACTCAACACTTCATATGGAGAGGGAGATATATAGCCTATTCAACTTTGAAAGCAGTGTATGTGAAGCCTGACCAAAAATTCAAGCCATATTTTATAGTATGAGGATTACTCATGCAGTGTTGAAAACACCACAGAGGTGCTCAGAAAACATCACCCTTTTCTTTCCAACTTGCACTTCCAGTAAAAGGCTGAATTTGTTAGTTCCCCCAGTAAAATTATTGTCGAATGTTGAGGCAATTCCACGTTTCTATTTCCAAAAGTCTTTGTACCTGGTCTGGCTACAGATGCCCACAGAACTGTACATTTCTGTGCCTGTTACTGTCTGCAGCACACTGGCTCTGCAAACATCACTGTTCCCTGCTCCCTATTCAGCCATTCTTGTAGACTTTGTCTCGAGTAATAGGGGGTAAAAAAAGCTGTAGGATGCAGGGTAGCTGAGTATTAAATAAGACTGTCAGAAGTTACCATGTCAAGGAGCAGAACAGGGTCAAGGTGTAAAAACGCAAAATCACTGTTTACAGCTACAAAAAGGCAGGTGCTTTTTGACAACGTCAGTACTCAGTCATAAGACAACTGGCTATGAAATTAAGGGAGTCTGTGTCACTACAGAGCTCAGCTCCAGATAATCTACATGAAATGCTGCCAGACCTCTGAGGCAGACAGCTCTGTTGTAGCTATGCATTAATTCAAGCTTCTCAAAGTTAACTTACTTTCTCCATATGAGTGTTACTGCAGATGAGGTACAAAAAGGACACAGCCAATGTGCATTAACATCTGTATACCAAGTGGGTAATTTTTGAAATTGCAGATGCTATATACTTTCATAATCACACTTTTCCATCATGATCAATTAATTGAATGAACTTCTAACAGCAGGAAAATAATGGAGGTTTCTGTTGATGCTGGTGTCAAAATAATGGAGTATCCATTGAGCAGTTCTGATGCATTTATGTATTCTAGTTTTGACTTGATGTAGACACAGAGTTGGATGGATTTTACGACTACTAGACCACAGAGATTAGTGTGAAGCATTTGTTCAAGTGCTCTACTGAATCAGAGCCATGAAAGTGGACATCTGGCTTTAAGTAGATGCTTTAAGGCTTTGCTGAAAAGCAGCAGGCTTTTATAACTGCTTTGTTGAATTCCCCTAATTTATAAACCTCAGTTTAAAAAAAAAAAAAAAAAAGAACCAAACCCCCAACTTAATGTAATATACCGTCGTTGCTTTTCTGAATTAAGACATTTATTTGGCTGAAATCTGGAACAGTGTGGAAAATGTAAGATAAATCAGTGTTCTGCCATATTTGAAGCAATAGTAGAGTCCAGAGGCATACTTGAAAGATAACATCTGTTTCAGCAGGAGACACCAATTCATCTTGATGAGTAACAGATTGGAAAAACACCATCTATATAAAAGATGGGTTCTCACAAGAACAGCACATACACAAATGCCAACACAAACTCTGAGGCTACAAAATCCCCATTAAACTAGCCCCAAAATGAGCGGAAGAGGGGTGGGAACAGGCACCCAGTGGCTCCTCAGAAATTACAGCCTCTCCATTTCTGCAGGCAGAGCTATTGCAGAGGCTGTGCACTAGCCACATCTCATTTCAGCCGTGGAAGCGGGCAGACAAGCCTCACAATGATTGTGTGCCAGAGGCCCTGCCCTTGATTTTTGTTGTACAAACTGCCACCGATTTTGGTTAGTGACCACACTGTAGGTCCCAGTGGTTGCCAGCACCTTCCTAGTTGCCATGAGAATAAAAAAGGAAAATGGCAATGGGTATGTATTTGTGATCCACCCTGAATTCACTATCTCAGCCCAGATAATTTGAGAGGTACCCTCGGTTACTACCACAGTACCTAGGGACATGACGAGCAGCTTAGTACACCTCATTCACAACTTTCCACTTCCTTCTACGGAGGTATTTGAGAACACCCTTAGGGTCACTGTATCTGCCCTTTTAAACTCCTTGTTCTCAAACGCTGACCTTAGACAGGCCATGTCCAGCTATCAAGGAGAGCTGAACTAGGTAGCCTCTTGGCCTTGCCTCTGCTCTGAGCAATCCCCAGGGTGAGACCAGATGGGTGCAGAAAGGTCCCCTGGAAGCCTCGAGTACTGCGTTCAAGGTCCTGGTCCACCACAGCTGGGCACTTGATATGGCAAAGCCACTTCCCTTGTTCCACAACGTCCACTTGAAAAATCAGTGTCACCCTAAGCAAAATCCTTACCAGTCAGTAAATAAGGAGATGAATGGTTGTGAGCTGCGCCAGTGCTACAGTGAACAGGTAACACTGGAAGTAGGTAGGACAAGTCTCCAAATAGTCACCCACAGGTCTTATGTTGCCTCTGCCATCAGGAATCTTGCAACCTTGCAGCAGCAGCTACCTTTTGCTTAGGTTTAACATTTCCTTTCATTAAACATCCAAAAGAGACCCTATTGCAAGAGCAATGGCAGTGGGAAGTGAGAATGACTATATAATGGAGTCCATGTTAAATAAACCTAAATGAAAGGTAGCTGCTGCTGCAAGGCACAAGATTCGGGGTGGCAGAGGCCACACCTAAACTGTGGGTAACTATTTAAAGACAGCACAAAAATAGCTACCAACATCACCAAAGGTGATATGAGCATGGGGTCCAACTCCTCACTTCTGTTGGATCCAGAGAACAAGGTTTTCCAGCAAACCTCTGGGAGCAAGAGGCCGTCTCTGCCGTCAGTGCCGTTGCACACAATGTGCATCGTGTACAGACAGTGCCTACACACGAAGCAGAGCATGGTAACCTGCAAAAGCTTTTCCAGAAGCCTGCTATGCAGTGGGGGAGCGAGCATCATTAGTGATTCCTTCTGTTCACCTGCAGTGAAGGTCCTGCTCTGTAACCTCCCCTAACCAGAGCATGCTGATAGCGATGCTAAACCCACGCCGAGAAATTTGATGTGTTTAACAGGTTTCTGAAGACAAGTACATTAAGGCAGAACTTTC